ACGTTGAATAATAGCTTCCAGAGTTGAACAAGAATGTAGTTGTATTGCCTTTTTGGTTAAACGCTACAAAAGCTGCTTGGAGCACTCTTAAATGATTGTTTACGTTCGGTTAAACTGTTTGACAGGAGCCATATAGGATGTGGAATAAACGCATCAAAACAAACCATTGGGAGCTCTTATACAACACCTGAGTTGATCAAACGTTGAATAATAGCTTCCAGAGTTGTACAAGAATGTAGTTGTATTGCCATTTGATTAAAAGCTTCAAAAACTGCTTGGAGCACTCTTAAATGATTGTTTACGTTCGGTTAAACTGTTTGACAGGAGCTTCTATAGGATGTGGAATAAACGCATCAAAACAAACCATTGGGAGCTCTTATACAACACCTGAGTTGATCAAACGTTGAATAATAGCTTCCAGAGTTGAACAAGAATGTAGTTGTATTGCCATTTGATTAAAAGTTTTAAAAGCTATTGGAGCACTCCTAAATGATTATTTACGTTCGGTTTAACTATATGCTTTATAAGACCTACGATAACTTTTATAGCACCTTAGTTAAACTGATTCACAAAAGCTATACAGAACGTGGAATAAACGCATCACAACAAACCATTGGGAGCTCTTATACAACACCTGAGTTGATCAAACGTTGAATAATAGCTTCCAGAGTTGTACAAGAATGTAGTTGTATTGCCATTTGGTTAAAAGCTTCAAAAACTGCTTGGAGCACTCTTAAATGATTGTTTACGTTCGGTTAAACTGTTTGACAGGAGCCATAAAGGATGTGGAATAAACGCATCAAAACAAACCATTGGGAGCTCTTATACAACACCTGAGTTGATCAAACGTTGAATAATAGCTTCCAGAGTTGTACAAGAATGTAGTTGTATTGCCATTTGGTTAAAAGCTTCAAAAACTGCTTGGAGCACTCTTAAATGATTGTTTACGTTCGGTTAAACTGTTTGACAGGAGCCATAAAGGATGTGGAATAAACGCATCAAAACAAACCATTGGGAGCTCTTATACAACACCTGAGTTGATCAAACGTTGAATAATAGCTTCCAGAGTTGTACAAGAATGTAGTTGTATTGCCTTTTTGGTTAAACGCTTCAAAAGCTGCTTGGAGCACTCTTAAATGATTGTTTACGTTCGGTTAAACTGTTTGACAGGAGCCATAAAGGATGTGGAATAAACGCATCAAAACAAACCATTGGGAGCTCTTATACAACACCTGAGTTGATCAAACGTTGAATAATAGCTTCCAGAGTTGTACAAGAATGTAGTTGTATTGCCTTTTTGGTTAAACGCTTCAAAAGCTGCTTGGGGCACTCTTAAATGATTGTTTACGTTTAACGTGGAATAAACGCATCAAAACAAACCATTGGGAGCTCTTATACAACACCTCAGTTGATCAAACGTTGAATAATAGCTTCCAGAGTTGAACAAGAATGTAGTTGTATTGCCATTTGCTTAAAAGCTTCAAAAGCTGCTTGGAGCACTCTTAAATGATTGTTTACGTTCGACCAACCACCAACCACAATTTTGTTGCTAAAAATAGCACAAGTGATAGGCACGTTTATATGACCATAAGGCAATGATTATTCGACTGCAAGAGAAGTCACTCAAGATGAGCTTCATATACTTCTCTCATATGATCAAAATATGTATTCAAGAATAGAGCAGATGGAAACAGAAGCGGCTGGCAATCCGGGATCATGAGTTCGAATCTTGCTTCGAGAAACCCTCGGTGGAGTAGAGGTAAATTATATATATAGGTGTTTATTAATAAATGCAAACATTAATTTAAGACATATATCATATAATCAACGATAACATTTCTAGATAAATTCTCTCAATTAATTATTAGGGAGATTAATCGAAAGAATATCAATCAAAGATTAAACCGATGCTAGTTACTACTTCCTCCATGATCACAGAATGTGTATTATGGCATAATTACATATTTTTTCAATGTGCACAAATAAATTAAATTAATAAAAACTGTACAAGCAATTATTTTGGCGTACCACAACAATTGTTAAATTAATTTTAATCTGTGAATATTGTGAGTACTTACACAACGGTTATTAAGGAGTCATTAAAAAGTGCTATAAACGCTTTCCACCGCTTGCTGTACAATGATTATTTAGGAGTCATAAAAGAGTGCAACAAATGCCTCTCAGGTTCACTCTCTACTAAATTTCAAAGCAGCTGTCAAGAAGTGTCTACAAACGTTGTATAAGAGCTTTCACCAAAATAATAAAGCTTGAGTTTAAATATGTATCTATAAACGTTGTATAAAAGTTGCTTCTATCCGGTTGTTAAGGAGTCATTGAAAAGAGCTGTAAACGCTTTTCACCGCTTGCTGTACAATGATTATTTAGGAGTCATAAAAGAGTGCAACAAACGCCTCTCAGGTTTACTCTCTACTAAATTTCAAAGCAGCTGCCAAGAAGTGTCTACAAACGTTGTATAAGAGCTTTCACCAAAATAATAAAGCTTGAGTTTAAATATGTATCTATAAACGTTGTATAAAAGTTGCTTCTATCCGGTTGTTAAGGAGTCATTGAAAAGTGCTGTAAACGCTTTTCACCGCTTGCTGTACAATGATTATTTAGGAGTCATAAAAGAGTGCAACAAACGCCTCTCAGGTTCACTCTCTACTAAATTTCAAAGCAGCTGTCAAGAAGTGTCTACAAACGTTGTATAAGAGCTTTCACCAAAATAATAAAGCTTGAGTTTAAATATGTATCTATAAACGTTGTATAAAAGTTGCTTCTACTCCTATACCGCGTAGACATATAATGCTGTAGTTGAACAGGTTCTCCAAACCAGTGTAAACAAGAGTTTTACAGAAGTTGTAATAAACAAATTGTACAGTTATTATTCAGCATGCAGTTGAATAAAATCACAATGGAAGCGTTTCTTCAACAAGAACGTTTTACTGAATACGTTAGACAACACCTTTGTGTTGCAGTTGTATAGGTTCTCCAAACGAGTGTAAACAAGGGTTTTATAAAAGTTGTGGTGAACACATTGTGCAATTATTATTCAACATGCAGCTGAACAAAATCAAAACGAAAGCGTTTCTTCAACTGGAAATTGTTACTTGGGTTGGTTGCTGACCTCGGTGACAATAACGAAATAGCCTTAATTTTTGGAACTCATGAAAACTTGCGACGTCTTGGACAGGCAAAGTATTGGGTTACAGATGGTACGTTTGCCACAGTTCCTTGTTTGTTTCGGCAACTCGTCACTGTTCATGGAAGTATCGCTCCCTCACATCAGCAGACAGTTCCGCTAGTTTTCATTCTGATGACAACAAAAACAGAATCGTTGTATCGAAAAGTATGGCAGGAAATCCTGGAAGCAGCAGGTATGTTTTTTTTTTTATTTTTGAATGAAAAACCACAGAATTCACCATTCTTCATTTCATGAGCTGTTCTTTGGCATCATATTTTATTCAACCTTAGCTGTTTTTTTGTTATTGAATAAAAAACCACAGAATTCACCATTCTTTATTTCATGAGCTGTTCTTTGAGGAAAACCTTTTCTTCTTTGACAATTGCAATATGTTTTTAAGAATATATTACAACAAATGTGTGTTTTTTTTTATTTCTAGATGCGATTGATTTCAAGATATAGTTCAAAACTATGCTGAGTTTTCATTGCCAGATTACTTAACCGCTATCGCTACTAATCTTGGATCTAAATAAATATATAGCTACGTCACTTATGATATGATAAATAATGGATTCCAAACTGTGCTTATTAAATCTATGTTTGTTTAACTTGTATCATTGTTATTCAACGCTTAGCCTAATTTAAGCATTGTTTACCATGCTCGAAACAGGTTTCTAGAGTTGCACAGCAGCAAGGTATTTTATGCCTAACGTCCATTATGCCATACATATAATATGCCTAACGTCCATTATGCCTAATGACTTTATGCCTAACGTCCATTATGCCTAACGTCCATATGCCTAACGTCCGCATGCCTAACGTATTTATGCCTAATGGGGTACACTCGAATACAGTGTATACTTCCTGGAAGAAATTTGCAAAGAAATTGTAGATTTCTAAAGAGTTATTTCCTACATGTCTGTCGAAGTGCATTAGGACATGATTTGACTTCAGACTCGACTTTACGATTGTATTCTTCATGTACTGAGGTAATGGTTGTGTTGAGTTCATTGCATGTGGTGTGATAGTTCTGCGAAGGAACTTTATAAATTGAGTACCAAGGACCTATCGGTCGAATTCGAACATGTTCCTGGTGTCGTCGTAAAAATTATCCGCACCACCAGTTCATACTAGAACCTATCATCAGCCACATCAAATAGGCGATCTAGAGTGCTCAGGATAGTGCCATATCCGAAAATATTTCAAATACCTCCAGAGAAGTGATCAGATCCAGACTAAAAGTAACACCCATTATGCGATAGATTAAATCTCATCAACGATGCGATGATATTGAACTTCTAGCACATGTACATGTACCACAACCGGCATTGTTTTAGGTTTCCTTGAGGTAAATGATCAATGAACATGAATTCTTCATGCGGCATATTAAATTTTGAACACTAAGATATCTGATTGTGCACCTTTGTTCATATTAGCTGTATATTTATTCCGAACCAACTACTAGACCATCTGTAAATGCATGTTTGAACAATTTTTCGAATTGATATGTGTAAACACGGTTAGATAGGTATTACAGAAGATGGAACATTTCTTCTTCACATTGCAGATGAACATAAAATTATTGTTTGTTGTTCTTTAACTCTAAGCAACCTTCAATACCGAGTTAATGATAATTGACTACAATCTGTATCTGCATTGACTGTATAGACATATAAAACAAATACGACAAATAAAGACCGTTGGCCACTATTGAAATCTACTTTTACAATACCAATAGCGCTTTCAATTTTCAAACAACAATAAGAGCTCCACATTTAAAACCAAAAAAACCTTGCAACTGAACCCATAACCTTACCTCCTGTCCTCCTTCCTACCGGGATGGGTCGACGCACGATCCAACCCATCCGTCACGATAGCATCACGAACCAAACTTTGGACGAGAGTACGATCGCAATAGTATGGTTCCGCTTTTCGGGAACCTTGCGAACTGAAGTGATGTTGAGCATAATGCCCAGCCGGAATTCCACCGTGGCCATGATGTGGCTGAGGCGACCGGGGACGAACCTGCATTTGGAGGAGCGAAAAGAATCAATGTTAATTTGGAGCTATTGAACCAGATCAAACAGTTGAAGAAATCGACAAATTCTCATCAGCTTACCGACATCCACTTCCAGCCAGGCCTGCCGACGCGGGCCAGAAAATGGAGCACCTGCTCTTCGGGGGTGTCGAAGCTTTCGTCCTTATCCCGGTAGGTGGATTCCGTCGTACTCTCGCCATTGTTTTCAACGTCCTTCAGACTGTTGTACTCACAGTACACCCAATCCGGGTGCACCTTCCAGTTGTTACCTTGGAAGTGTTCAGAAACTGTGAACAGCAGAAACGCTAAAGGTAAATGGCACGACAAAAAAAAACACAAAGATTGATTACCATTGTTATGAGAATGCCGAATCTCTATTTGGGCATTCAACTCATGAATACCGTAGTTGTCAGGAAGAGCTATTCCCAACGAGAATGGAGTACCATCGATTGGGCCGTAGAAATATCTGTGATCAAAATAAGTATTAAAGGCGCTCACATTGTGTAACTAAATGAATCTTACTTTTGAGGCCTCATGGTCACTCGCTTCATTCCATCCATATGAGTTAGAACAGTTAGTTCATTTTCGCCCTCTTTTTGAAGGACCATCTCGTTGCGCAGCTATCGAAATCAAAATAATATTCGAATATAATAACAATTATTCATCAAAAGTAAGTATTCCTACCTCTTGAAGAACATTCGTAAACCTATGCTCATGCCGTTCATTGATCCCATTGGTAGGACTATCCACTTCTGGCAGTTCTACCTCGGTCAAATCAACCGAGTTGTACTTATGCTTCAGAGATGCGCTGTACTGACCATTATCACTTATGGGCCGTAGGTCCGGATGGTACAAAACTCGACCGTTGTTATCTACAATGAACGAGTAACCATTCACACCCAACCTATGCTGTGGGATCATTTTCTGAATTTCTTCAATGGGAACATCCGTCCCGACAACCCCTAGTAAGTTAGCTGCCCTTGAGGAGTGATTCCGCCGATCGAAGACCGGAGTCGAAACGGTGGTCACCAACTTTCGCTTGTTTTCATTCTCTCGGCCTAGAATGCCACTGCGACCACCGGTGAATACCGGACTCCAGTGCACCGGATGATCCGCCTGATACAGCACCATCGGACGAGCCATCACCAGCGCATATTCCACCACTTTCCGTCTAGCTTCCTCAGCACTGTTGATCTGAACGTAAAAACCTACCAAAATCAGAGCAAAATGAAATTCATTCTTCATGGAAATGTCCCAGCATTCAACTGCAAACCTTTATTATCGCAAGCCATCTGGTACAAATTCTTCCCACTACTTTTGTCCGTTCCGATCAGATATGTGAAAATCCGAACGGGCATGTGCGGATGGTTGTAATGCTTGATCACATCCGCAAAGGTATCACTCGGACCATCGGTGATCAACATGATAGCTTGATTGCACTGACTTCCCTGGGAGCTTTGATTGTACTGCAAGTAGAAACCGAGTTAAGAAAAAAATAATCCAATCGTGCCCAGAAGGAAGAGGAAACTACTCACCCTTCGCAGCAACTCGAAAGCCGATTCCAAAGCAGCGGAAAAGTTGGCCGTATTTTCACATTCCACCGATTGAATGGCAGTTTTGACCTCTTTTATGTTGTCGGGAGTGGCACGAACCTGAAAGGAGAAATTATTGCAGATATTGTAAATTGAAGGTAGCATGGGAAACTATATTTTCTGAAGATCCCAATTACCACTGCTAACAGTCATACAAGCCTAGTACCAAATGAAATGCCAAATCTTTTGGAGTAGGTTTTTGAATGTATAATTGCACGTTTAACGATAGGTAATTCAATAAATTAAAACTGGAATTTACACGTTCATGTAAATTTATATCGTTGTTCGAATGAATGCATGTAAAATGCAATACAAATTAATGGACTATTAAAAATTTGTACGTAAAATTGAAGTTGTATTGCTATATGTTTCAACTAAGGCCAGAAAATACATCAATGTGATAAATTTAAATTAACAAAATATTTGCTGTTCAGTCGTTCGGGCAGAACGATGACCATGAGTCAGATGATGCATTTTTTTTCCAAATCAGATTCTGAGCACTTCAAGAAAATGTTCACATTCTATGTTGTACTCTATGTGGATCAATATGACCGTTAACCCTTTGTCTGTACCTTGCGGTCAATTTGACCCCAGGCCATTTTGAGAGACTGTAACTTTTTTATTTGACGATGGATTTTACTAATTCTTTTGTGACTAGGTGCGTCCACCAGAGCTCTGTACTGAAATCTGTTCAAAAAATCTTGAAAACAAATTTATTGGAAGAATTTTATTGCAATACTTGTTTCCTATACCCTGGGCTCAATTTGACCCCACATTCAAATTGCAGTATCTCGACGAAAATTAAATGAATTTCTGAAACTTAAAATGGTTTGCACAGTAAATTTAGTAAAATTTATGTATAAATTATGATACTTTTTTTTTTTGAAGGGCGGATCTCTCATAGGAAGGGGCATTGTAAAACTATACTCATGAAGTGGCATATTTTGATGTTAGAGATGTTTATATCACGAGATCCCAACTGCAAAGATCTGCAAAGATATTCAGGAATTCAAGGCCTTCAAAACTATGATTCAAAACTAGTTTGCGCAAAAACGAAAATGATCAAATTGCCCCATCTTATATACACATTATATAACGCTCGTGCTCATATGGATGGTTTTCATCCTCAGCGAAGTTTAGCATCTGCCCATATCCTAAGAAACAGAGTTTAGTTCAGAATTCACTCATCAGGTGGCGCTAGTGTGACATTTATGTTTCATTTTTTGCCCTAATTTAACCAGTGGCGTCGCGTAACCTCACTTTTTACCTGTTCAACAACTTTGAAAACGTTATTTAGTGTCATGTTTACATTCAAATCAGTTTTAAAAGCAGTGTTCACTCGGCTGTCGACAAAAGCAGGCCACTCTCGATGTGTGCTACGCGATCGTCTGTTTTCTCGGCAGCAACCATTGTGTGGTCCTCCTCATTGTTCTTCATCAGCAGTTCTTTCGGTCGATGCGTCGTCGACTTTGGAAAGCAACCGTTTCGTGATGAGTGTGTGAGTGCTGACCACGTTTTGCGTCGATTGCTGCAATGGACGCGCTCTGACCCTCGTTGGCGTACAACAATTTGCCATACAATGAAACTACTGGAAGCGGCTCCAGTTCTGATGGAGGAGGCTTTTTGGATATCGGAAGATAAAGTGTTTATTGTGTTGTACCTTTTGACTATAGTTTTAAGATGTATTGTATAGTGACCAAGAATCCTCGGCTCTGTAAAGTTAATTCGGTTGAGCCTTATCAAATAAATTAATAAAAAAAAAAGTTTTAACAGGCATAGGGTCTTCTAGTTTCACTGATTTGTATCCATTGGAACCAATATTGTTTTGTTTGTTTATGTTTTGAGAGTTGTTGAACAGGAAGATTGAGGTTAGGGCGACGCCACTGAATTTAACATCTTCACTAGATAAAAGGTTCCCGTTTTCGGCAAAATTGTTCAGATGGGGAAGACCTATTTTATGGAAAAGAGTGAACTGTGGCACTTACCAGGTGGAACTAGTGTGACATTAAGTTTCCATTGTTTTCCCGAACTTATCATCTTGACTAGATAGAAGATTCCCGTCTAGCGCAAAGTTGTGCAAATGGACAAGACCCATTTTATGGTAAAGAGCCTAGGTCATAATTAACGCACCAGGCGGCGCTAGTGTGAAACTAATTTTCCATTGTTTGCCCTAACTTAACATTTTGACTAGACAGAAGGTTCCCTTGACTAGACAGACTAGACCCTGGGTGATGCAGTGTAGCTTCTTTTCAATGTTGGTAGTGCTATTCTTCAAAAGCGCTGCCAAACAGTATTATGCGTGAAGTTCAATGACTGTTCGATTGTTTGTTTACGTTCGTTAATTTGCGAATGATTAGAGAGAAGTAAAATTATAAAAAAATTTACGAAACAAATTTAAAAAGTTATTTCGGCATTTTTTTTTCTTTCGTTTATTTAACGTCGGTCTCTGTTCCGCAATCTAGTGCCAATCACCGACGGACATCGATTGCCATCCATTGACGATAATCGAATGTGCAGGAAGGCAGCTTCCACACCTGCGTAGGATATCGCACCCATTCACAACACACATGGGCCGGGACCAACGGCTTTACTTCCCTTCCGAAGGAAGACGTGACCAGAGATTTTTATGCCTCAGAAAAATCCCACCGACCTCGGCTGGGATTGAACCCAGACCCATTGGGGTGTTAGAAAGCAGTCACGCTTACCACTACACCACCGGCGCCGGCTGACGACTTCGGCATGACAGACTATTTTCGGCAACCCAAATTGAAATGCTTATTTCACTGGATTTTCTTAAGAAAACACTTCGCTGAATGCGTTCAAACTATTCTTTAGGCTTTCAGCTTCAATTTGATTATATTTTTACCAATGAGAAAAAGCAATCAAGCAGGGTTTTCTAGAAATGAAACACACGAACTACAAAACGCTGCTGATTTCGAGTTGCCGATGAAAGCACAGCTGCTTAACACGCAGCTCAAATAGAAAGGTTGCCGAATAAAAAGAGGTTGCCCACAATAGTCGCTCTCACTAGAGAAGATTGGAGCTTTGTAAAAGCGTTTCAAAACAGTTTTTGGCAATTCTTTCGACTGAGATTGCTACAGTAGCTGGCAGCAAAGGATTGTAAAAATGTGGTTTAAATTATATACTAGCTTGAAAATTTTCAATACTGATGTAATCCAATACCGTAAAACGGAGTATCTTTAATAATGCGAGTAACTTTGATAGTATAATATAAAGAATAAATTTATTCGCTGTGCTTTTTTCGAATAAGAAACATTGGTTCCAAATTGTAGCTTAGGGTATTTCCGTTGATATGGTTTATAGCTTTTATAAAGTATGCGTTACATATTTTACAAAAATATTAAATAACCATTTTCGTGTTTTCGTCATCACTTATGAAATGTATTTCCGATACAGCCATCACAAATTCAATGTTGTATTCTTATTGCTTATGAAGTTTTCTGATTATATACTCACTCAAAGTTTCATATTTAAAGAGCTAAATTGTTTGAGATTCACTCTTTTTTTTCTACATTCATCGAGCATTATCAAAGTAACCCCAAATCAAAATACTGAAGTTCGGTCACAAAACTAAAAAATAGTGTAAATGCTTTAATTTTCGTTCAACATATTACTAACGAATTAACTCTTGGATCCTCAGTACTTGTTTTAAAAATATAAAATTTGAAAAACAGTCATTGCTGTAAAAAATATTTAGAATATACTTTTAAAAAACTATCGTTTTACGGTACTTATATTCGTATCGTCGTCCCGGAGAGTAAAAAATTGGTTAGATTTGACATTTCAACTAATTGATATATCACTCTCTTCAGTAATCATGGTCAGAAAATAATATTCCATACCAACTCTGTTCAGAAGATTCCTGTTATCCATAATTTAGAAAGAAATATGCAGTTAAATTAAGGCTCTTGCTGATTTAAAAATGTTTTCTCAAAAATAAGATAAGGTTCATATCAGTCACTTTTTTCATCAATAGTTTAGGATAGGTCTTGTATATTTGAACAACTTTATCGAAGACGAAATCCTTCTATCTAGTCCATATGTTAAGTTACAGCAAACAATGAAACATGAATGTCACACTAGCGCCACCTGGTGAATTAATACTGAGTTGAAATCTTTACCATAATATTGTTTTTGTCCACCTGAAGAACTTTGCCTAAGACGGGAACCTTATGTCTAGTCAAAATGTTAGGTTAGGGCGAAGACAACAAATCAAGAAGACTGGCAACTCTTCCATTTTCTCATACGAACGCTATGAGACAGGTACAATCGCGTCATCTGCCGCTCAAAGGTAAATGCTTCGAACGAATTTGATAGCAAAGATTACATCCTCAGAAGAAAGGTTTGTGTATTTGCTCATTTTTCTATACGTTGCTTCCACCTTCACTCAAGCGCAGCGCTATTGTATCTGTCGCTTGGATTCTGGCAAAGTTGCCAGTCTTCTTGATATGATGTCTTTGGTTAGGGCCAGTGCTGATAAAAATCATTCCTTCTACACTCAACTTAGCTGAAAATGAAGACAGCCTCAACAGATAGACCAACTACCTGCATGAATTTGAATTTTGACATAACATCATTCTCTTGATCAAGGCAATCTTTGAATATCGAAGTTAACATTAATTTGTTTTTCTTCATTTGTGGCTGGATTTTCATTATCGCCTCTGTTGTTGTCAATATTCATATTCGTCTTCATCTTGGTGGGGATGATTTTCAAAACAAACGCAATTCATCTACTCTGGGTTGAAGCGCTACTTCTTGCGTATGATGGTAAATGATAAAAACATACACTGGTTAGGGCAAACAAATCAAAATGAACATCACACTAGCGTTGCCTGAATTCTGAACTAAACCCTTTGCCTTAGGATAAGTCTTGTCCATCTGAATAACTTAAATACTGAAAACGGGAACCATCCATATGAGCAGGATCTGTA